TATTATATCAAGAATAATACAGTATCTATAGAGTATCCCTAGTACTAGGTGATATCTACTACAAAATATTCTCACAAAAAACATTAACAATAACGGTCCAACCAAATTGCTAATCGTAAGTCAAACTCAATTTGTCCAAAAGAGAAAGCATTATGATCATCATGAGAATAAATCAACTATGATAAAACAAGATTTTCATTGCAATTATAAATTCAAAGTCATTACGATGCTAAATCAGGAACACCCCATATCATTGAGGGATTTAGCTACTCATAGAAATAAAAAACAACATGGTAAAAGTCATAAACAATACAGATAACTTGATGAATTAGTCTTCAATCACATAAAGCTCTTGAAGGTCTTGATCCACCTTGAAAATATGAGTTTCTCAGCCATTCTTAACGTGTCTTTGCCATCAAAAATCGTCCAACCTGGTGAAATTCACGTTCTGGGGGTTAAATAGAGCAATTTTGGGCCTTTTGTGATTTTGGGCGCCCATATGCGTATGGAGGCATATGAGGGGCGTATAGGCATGAATTTTGCGTATGGTACGCGTATGAAAGGCTTTGTACGCGTAAGGGCAGAAACCTGGAATTTTAAGATCTCATATATGTATGAAATGGCTTGATACGCATATGAGAAGAGCTAAATTAGCCTTTTGTGTCTTCATGAAAGTTGTAGCCCTTGATGTTAGCTTTCATTTGTCGCCATTTCTACGTCATTCCGAGTTATGATGCTCTAGTTATGATCAAAATACCGCACACCTGTCATGATGAAAAACATGTTAAAACTTTCCAGATCTCACATATTTCTAAAAATTCTCCGCGTTTCTTTTCCGACCATATCATTGAATTCCTCTGGCCTACAAAACACATTAGCCTTCCCAAAAAGATCAAAAATACATGGAGTGATTAAAACATAAATAAATACGAAATTACCGAAACCGACATATAAACCACTCAAACTAAATGAAAAATGAAAATAACTCGCCTACTTTCACCTGTTAAAATGACAATAACAATAGAAGAAATGGTGACTGATAAAAGGCTGCAAAAAAAACCTTAAGATACTTAAAAGGATCGATAAACTGTGGAATTCTATTTCGACAAGAAATTGAAAGAAAAGAAACTATTGTTACTTGCTATTCATGTGTTGATTGGTGTGAAGATGAGAAAGATTGAAGAAGCACAACTGGTTATTTATTTCAAGTCTTTGGTTCCCTAATCTCATGGTGCTCAAGAAAGCAACATGTGGTGGCATTGTCATAGTGTGTGGCTGAATATATAGCAGGGTCCTATGATGTATGTTAAACAATTGAGATTAGATCAGTGCTTAAAGAAATGGAAGTCGAAGTGAAGAAACCCCTAGTGTTGCAGATCAACAGTAGGTCATCCATAAATAATCTTGCAAAGAATCTAGTTATGCATGGAAGGACTAAGCATATAGAAGTTAGATTTCACTTCTTAAGGGAGAAGGTAAATCGAGGTGAACTTGAAATATGACATTGCTCAAGTGATGCATCACTACAAAATAAGTTGTGTGTTGCCACGTGACTCCCACGTCGCTAACACCAAAATCATGTCACAACTTTATTTTTGCCACCTGAAGAAACACGTCGTTGAAGAGTGTGTGGCAATGTTGTTGTGATGTGCGAAACATGTCACAACGTTGTCACGTGAAATTCACGCCGCAACAAACTTTATGGGGTCAAAGGCAGTCAGAGCAGAACAGAGGTCAGAGTAGATTTTATATTCACTTTTACGTTGTGTGTTGCGGCGTGTTTTTCATGTCACTAATTTGTGATGTGGAAAGCACGTCGCAACTTTTTTTTTTAATTATTTTCTGTTTTAAATATAATAATTCTGATATAATAATTAATATTATTTTTTGTTTCATTAAATTTATAAATTAAATATTATAATTTATTTATTAAATTCAATATTATAAATCAAATTATCAAAAATAAAACTAAATATATCAAAATATATAAATTAATATACTTAATATAATAAAATTAATAAACTAAAATTTAAATTTAATATTTTTAAATATAAAATATGGTTATAAATTTATATTAGTACACAAATAAAAAACTAAATAGAAAATAAAAATAAAACTAAGCAGAAGGATCATTCGAGTCGTCGGAAAAGTTGCGAAGAAAGTCATCATTATTTTGGTGGTTATTATTTTGGCCACCATTGTTAGGATTTCCACCAAATGCTTGCATAAATTGTCGCATTTGCTCCTCCATATCAGTCTGCCTCTTCGCCATTGCCTCCATTTCTCTATTATGTTCACCCCTCATTGCCTCCATTTAGGCCTTCAATGCCGCCTCCATTTGGGCCTTCAATGCGGCCTCACGTTCTTCGGACTCGCGTCTAGCCAATTATTTTTTAACATACTATATTAATGTTTTATTGACATTCTACATAAAATATAATATTATATTTGTTTTAAAAAATTATATTAACATCAAATATATACTGTTTTTTATAATATTATATTGTTTTTTATAATATTATACTATTTTTTATATATGCATAATTATAAAAGAGTTTTAAAATAATAACATTAAATATTTTTTTTTTAATTATAAAACAGATTTTATAATAATAATATTAAACAGTTTTTACTAAATATATACATATTAAAATAATTTTTTAAATATATTTTTATTCAATACAAAAAACTATTTTTTTATATATGTTTTTAATTAACACATAAAATATTATATTATATTTGTTTTAAATAAAATATATATTAACATTAAAACTGTTTTTATAAAATTTATATATTATTCTATTTTTTTGTTTTTTATAATAAATAAATTAAATAAATCAAGATATATAACTTATCATAATATATATTTTTGTTTATATATATATATATATATATATATATATATATATATATATATATATATATATATATATATATATATATATATATATATATATATATATATATATATATATATATATATATATATATATATATATATATATATATATATATATATATATATATATATATATATATATATATATATATATATATATATATATATATATATATATATATATATATATATATATATATATATATATATATATATATATATATATATATATGTATGTATATATATATATATATTCGTTTTTTAACAAGAAGTAACTATATAATATATATTCTTATTTTTTAAAATTATATTTAATGAAAATTACAATATTATAATTTAACCAAATTCAACCTAAAATCTAATTAAATTCAGAAAATATACCAAATATATTAAAAAAATCCAAGAAATATCTCTTCTCTTCTAACTCCTTCAATCTTCTTGTCCAACCTTTTTGCAATCTACTTCTACTATATCAATCTTCTTCTAGTCAAAGAAAAATTAAAATAAATTACAATCCCATAATACAATAAATAAAAACTTGTAAACAAAATAGAGACAAAATTAAATTAAATTTACCTGAAAAAAACAAGGATTAATGGAGATTGAAGTTGAATTTTATGAAAAAATAAGAGGTTTTATAATGGAGATTGAGTTGGATTTTTGAAGAAGAAGAGGGTTAATGGATGTTGGGATTTTTGAAGAAGAAGATGGTTAATGGAGAGGAAGAGTGTTTGATGAAAATGTACTACTGTCTGCTTGGTGTAACATGATTTAATTAAATATATAAATCATTCAGCGACGTGAAAATCACACTGCAACTTTGCCACGTGACTTTCACGTCGCAACAATGCCAACAGTCATATTCTCTTTCTTCACATACCTGCAAAAGTTGATCATGCTAGTCTGAATTAATTTGTTTTTCCCTCTTAAATGTTGCGACGTGAATTTCACGTCACAACTGACTTTTCAAAATTTCAAAAATCCCTCCATATGAACGTTAGATCAATTAAAATATTTTATATTATATTTTTACTAGCGACGTAATTCCCACGTCGCAGCATTTTTTTTATTTAAAAAACTCAGACAACTATCATGCTTTTTTATTTTATTAATAAAACATGTTGCCACGTGATTATCACGTCGCAACTGGTTTTTTTTAGCCACATGATAATCACGTGGCAAAAACACGTGGTTGGAGATGATATTTCTTGTAGTGCATAGTTGGTCGACATTTTTACCAAAGGATTGAAGATCAATAGATTCCTGAATTTGAGAAAAAAATTAGGAATAGTTCAGATCGACTATAATTAGCGTAGGTTCGACAACTTAGATTATATGGGAGTATGTTGAGATATAAGATATAATCTAAGTTGAATAATCTAAGCACAAGACCAATTAGAGTTTATTTAGCCTACTTAATATACACGTTAGTTGTATATAAATAGACATAATTTGTAATTCAGTTTGTACAATTCAATTCAATATTAGAATTCTTATTTTTTTATTCTCTTTTTTTCTCCCCTAAAAATGTCTTACGCACTTATAGAGCCTTATTTTTGACAAAATTGGATCTAAATTATCTGGTTGGAAGAGTAAGTTACTGTCACTTAGAGGAAGAGCTACTCTAATTAATTCCACTCATAGCAATCTACCTATATTTTGGTTGTCTTTCTTTAAAACTTCGATGAAATTTTGGAAGGAAATCACAAATTCAAAAGAATTTTTTTGTAGAGATGTTCTGAAATTAAAAGGTAAGTTCATTGGATTAGTTGGAGTAAAATTTGCATAACATAGTCAACGAGGTTTGGGAGTGAAAATCATTGAAGACTTCAACAAATCCTACTTTACAAGAAAGAGATGATTTTACCACTTCAAATTGTAGTTGTGTTTATCCAATGAAGAAAATGAAAATATAACCAAGTAACTGTTTATTTTGTCTCTTCCGTACATACAACTTTCAGAGTAAATTTGCATGTATACTACTGCCTATAGTGGCAATATGATAATATCCCTTGAGAATGTGTAAACCAAAAGCATGAAATAATATAGATAGCTATTACATATTCTTAGTTAAGGCAACAACAGCACACTAAATTCATAATTAGTTATGATCAGATGAAGTAATTGGAAGTTGTTGAGTCTCACTTTGCTTCATTGTAACTGAGGATAGTGGCATAGTAGTAGTGGCTGATGAATAATCTTTGGCTTTACCCCATACCACTGAATAAAGACCCATCGCAATAATCACTGCTCCAATGATACTGTTATCCATAAAGAGAAAATATTATTAGCCAAAATAGGAAAGTTTGTCAAGTGAAATTTCACTTTATTAGTAAGATATACCTGCCCAAGTGGAGTTGTTCTGCAAAAAGAAAGGAGCCCAAAGCACAAGTGAGGATCATACAAAGAGGATTAAATGCTGTGAAAAATACCGGACCTTTGCTTTGCAATACCAACCCTTGCACATAATATGTTAATCCTGAGGTAATTATTCCCTGTGATTTTTATGTTTATTCAAAATATCTATCAGAAAATAGTTGATGTAGTGACATTATAATATAGTTATTAAAAGAGTTAAAATTACCGTGTAGAGAGGGCCATAGAGTCTAAAGTCCCAACCAAGAGCCCAAACTCCCGCACCTGAGTGACGCTCCACCACCAACGCCACCGCGCTACTTTGGAAAGCACCAACTAAGCAAATTAAGGTAGACAGTGACATTTCAGCCGAATACTTTTTCAACGTTATCGACTGCAGTTCACATATCAAATTCATATAACATGATGGATGATACGTATTAAAATTGAACAAGTACGAAAATAAACTTGCCTGTAATATAAAAAAAGACGACCAAGCGAAACAACCCAATAATATAAAGAGTGTTCCTGAGATCCAATGTGTATGAGTTTGAGTGTCGTGACTTCCAGCATGATGATGAGATGTTTTTGGAGAATAAAAAAGGTGGATTTGTGGTCCTTTGTAAATTGTCATCAATAATGCACCTGCAAATGTTACTAATGTCCCAATCACCTTTGCTATGCTTCGTATCTGCTTAATATTTACTCGTTCAATCCTGATAAATGGTACGTAGTACTATAAGATTAGTATTTTGTTTAATAAAAATATATTGTAGTAATAATCAGTTACCTGAAAATTAACGCTAAGAAAAAGGTAATGGAAGGCACAGTATTCAACAAAATCGATGTAAATGAAGCTGATGTATATTGCAATCCCAAATATGTGAATCCTTGATCAATCACTGCCCTACAATAGTACCAAATGGTATACCATACATTATTATTACTTATGAAACAAAATTTCTAATTCGTCCACGTAAGTGATACAACATATTACACACTGTTCACTCACTTTGTGTTTTGTTATACGTGCAACTATGATTGATTAGTATATTTAAGAAACATACTAAATAAGAATAAACACACTAAAGAAGAATAAACATAAATATTTTTCTTTAGAAAAAAATTCATAAAGAAAATAGAGGGGAACATAAATATTTTTCAATGGATACCACTATTAAAACATGATTTAATTAATGTGATTAGGGGGTGCTAAAAGGCCTGGCCATTTTTTTTAGTTCCATCATATAAAACTGTCTAAAAATAAAGTGGGACGAATATATTTGAGGGTACAATTTTGAACTCTGATTGATCCCACATAAAAGTGAGAGTGTGGAAGGATTCTTCTATAAATATCAAATCTTTTAAATGTATATTAAAGATGTGAATTAAACTTTGATCCATTCTAAAAAAAATACGAACAAATTGACATGTCCGACAAGACAAATCATTTTTACCACTCTTACTTGTGAGATCTTTGTAGTTTTCATAATAATGTAAACAATTTCTAGTAATTTAATATCTCATAGGAAATCATGTCTTGTTTTAATAAACCAGATTTAAATATTAAATATCAAATCTAATTGATTATATGTTAAATAATCTATTTTAAATCTGACCTCATCTATTAATCTACTTAAAAATATATTTTATATTAAAAATTTAAAAAAAAATATTTTGACATACTTTTAAAAGGTTAATAAATAAATAAATGGTCTCTTTAATAATTTTATAATTTTTGGGTTTCTTTTTTATCCACTCCAAATATAGATAGATTTTAGATCATTACTCCAAAAATGCAAGCGCCATTATGTGCCAAAAGATAGAGATAGTCATCTTTGGCCTAAGTTTCCTGCATAATTTTAAGAAAAATGGTAATTAGAAATAGGATAAAAATAATTCAAGACAAAGAAAAAAAGTTAATTCCATTTTTTATTAAGGTTAGACATTTGCTTATCACCTTTCAAAAAAGCATGCAAAAGGAGCAAGGGCAATTGCAGCAATGATATTACGATAAACAATGAACACAAAACGACTCATTCCCATATTGAAACTGGCCATGGAGATTATGGATGTTCCTGCAAACCCAAATTGAACTGCCACTGTTAACACATAAGGCCTTGCCTTACTGCCAAAACTAGTGAAACCCATTTTACCCATTTCTTTCTATTCAACAAAAATACTGAAATTGTTTAGAGAGATGGTTTCAAATGTATGAAGTAGCCTTCTTTATAAATACTAATAATTGTGATTAAGACGTAATCCATTAGACATAGCAAGATGATAAGTAATCCTTTGATGAGTCCCTGGTTATAAAGTTTTTTTTGCTTTTTCTTCAATCATTATATGAAAGTTAAATTATTTAGTGGGAGTATATGCAGCTAGCTTTGCTTGATTGAGATGACAACCTCTCTAATTAATTAATTGCTTTTTAGTCAGAATACACTTTGGATAATATCAACAAAACTGCACACACTACCATAAATTGTATATTTTGTAAAGATAATTTGTCGTGGTTAATTCATCAAGTGAGATCAAATTCTATTTTCTTTTACATTTATCTTAAACCTAATTAATTTTTGAATCCAAATCAAATAGTTTTTGACGGCCGAGCTCACGAATAAAAAGAGATTTTATCAACTAATTAGTCTCAAGAACCAAAATACTTTTTACTAAAACAAACTCAATTATCAAACAAAGAATTTATAATATCAAAAATCAATGATATCAAACAAGAAAATTGAACAATTAGTGAAGAACATTTAAGCATGGACACTAGTACAACTAAAAAATCCTCAAAAGTATGTTTAACTCACAATACAGTCAGGTAAATTTAATAGAAGAATACAAAAAGGAGAGAAGAGAGAAAATAAGAAAACAATAGTAGAAATTTAAATTTTAATGTGATTTAAACGAGGAGGAACCTCCTTAATATAGGAAAATATATAACTCAAAAAGAAAAATATCTCATGAGCATTTTAATGCTCATAATTGATTGGGTGCTATGTTTAATCGATTATATAGGCTTAATATGGATGGTTTTCAAATACGTTGTCACTAATCGATTAGAAGTCCTCTTAATCGATTAGGACGCGTTACAAAAGATATGATCGACTAACCTTAATAATCTAATCGATTATCAAGAGTAAATCACACTCCTAAAAGATTATTCAAGCTAATAACCAACTAATTACTTCTGTAAAATATTTTCTAGTGATTTTAAAAAAGTATAGAGGCTTCAAAAACATTTTAAAGTGTGTGTGAAATTTGTATCAGCATCTTAGAAGATACTCTTATACTTCTAAAATACAATGAACACTCATACACAGGTTCAAGAGAATTTTCATTCTTCCTCTCTTTCACAACTTTGAAGCCTCAAGATCCCTGGATTCACCATTGATTCAACACCTCATTTGAAATTTGAATTCTTCTATCTTATGAAGCATGACATAACTTATTTGATAGATGTCATCATCAAAGGTTGCTTGATCACAAATTTGCAATGACTCCACTAAACACCTATTGACATGGGTGTTGTTAGCATCAAAACTACTCATTTTCCGTTAAGATCATCTGCATATAACTATACATGCAAGCACATAAATCTACGTTATACCCCTTTTTTGATGATGACAATGCATCTCTTAAGGGAGTGGATAAACAAAGAGACAACTATAATTGGAGTGGTTGAACTCCCATTGACAATATAGAGAGTACACTTCCCCCTTTGTCATTATCAAAAAGGTAGAAAATAACACAAAGCAAGAACATATATCATGTATGCCACATAGAGAAAGGGATGAAGAAGAAGTAAAAGAGATTTAGAAAATATTAATTCATGCATGATTGATTTAATATTCTTAATGCATTCATATAAAATAGAAGTTTTTTTAGGAAGAAGCTTAGTAAAAATATATCTGATTTGATTAAATGAACGCATGCTTAATTACACAATCTCATTTTTCCTATGTTGTGCCTAACCTCAATGTGTTTAGTCTAATAGTGAAGTACCATATTTTTTGTGAGGTTCATGATACTAATGTTGTCGCATTCTCACAAGAAAACACCAAGATTAACTCCATATTCACCTATCTAGTGTTTTATCTAGATAATTTTCATGCAACGTCTACTCATATCAACATGTTATTGCTATGCAGTGCTACACTTGCTAGTTTCTTGTTTTGCTAGAAGACAAGTGAATTACCAAGTAAGTGACATGTTTCATTGTACTTTTTCAATCTAATTTATACCTAGTAAAATCTGAGTTATAATACCTAACTAATACATAATATATTCTTATGGGGTATCATAAACCCATTAGTGGTGTCTGTCGCGGCGCGAAAAAAATCCAAGCGTAAGAAATGCTCGAAATACAACAGAGTCGTCACCAAACTTTATTTATTTCAAAGAAAAGGGAAATATCGATAAAACTCACAAAATAAAAGAAAAACTATTGTCGCAACTAGATTGAGTTCGGGATTCAGTTATGTGAGGGGAAGGTATTAGCAACCCTCACATCCATTGTACTCAAGGGGATCCATTTAGTTATTTTTAGAAAGAGTGTTAGCGTGATGTTAGTTTGCGATCTTCTAATTATTATGTAAGAAAAAGAAAATAAGGATTTTTGGGTTTTTTATTATTGTGCTTGCCAAGATTTCAAAATATTGTGTCTACACATTCCCGGATGCATTAGGAAAATCAAAGCTTCGTAGTTTATGGTAGAAAACCACTAGCTTTTTGGTTGCTTTTAGGTACCAATGCTTAGGTCATATTTGAGCGGTTAAGCATAGCTTGTTGCTCATGCATGAGAGGCTTAAGTATCTACTTGTTTTGCGTAGAAATAGATCTTGTTTAATCGCATTTAAGCGGTTATATATTTCTTATTTCTCGCTCATGAGAGGATGAAACCTATTTGTTTCGCGTTGGAATGTATAAAATATCATTCATTTGTGAAAATAGTAGACTTTGCTTTTAAGGAATACGAGTATTGAAATGATCAAGCTATACGACTTGTATCTAAGTACTTGTGAAAAGGTAGAACATATGTCCATCTCTTGCGTTTAATCTGTTTATTGAAAAATAGCGAGACGAGTTTGTTAGACTTGAGACTTCACACACAAGAGGAGAGTGAATTGTGTGATTTCGAAAAACATGATTTTGAAAACTTTTGACAATTTAAATCAGAGTTTGACAACATTTTCTAATTCTAAGCAGCAGAAATAAAGTATTTAATTTGCAAAAATTAAAAGAGTAAATGAAAAAGAGGAACACCTAGAATTATAGAGGTTCAGTCAAAACTAAATGACCTATCCCTTTCTCCAATACTTGGTCTTAATAGTTTCCAACAATATTTGAGATCTTTTAGTAGGAAAGGCTCACGAAGCCCCTTATATAAAAAATGGCGGTTGTCGTACAACCAATATATTTGAAGACGAATGATATGAGTGTTTGTGTCTTTTCTCTAATAACTTTTTGAAACTGAAGTAGACAAGCTTCCTTCACAACTGTAGATTGAATTGATTAGTCTTCTCTCCATGAACATAGACCTTGTAGAGGTTATTCTTCAAGTTCCAAAATATATATGAGGTCAATATTGGTTTAACAAGAGAACCAGATAACCTTTGAGATTTTAACTAGGCTAATCTCAAGCCTATGAAGATTTTAGGACAAGGACAATCTTCAACCTATCATGGTTTTAAACACGCTAAGCAAGAACCAAGGTAAGATCTTCAAAGCTAGATAATATTCAACCTATATATAAATTTATAAAATGATCACATAATCCCCAACAATAAGCTTTTAACGAGTTTATCTTCAAACAATATATATAATCTCTATTTGGAAAATATTTAACCAAGGTTTATAAATATAGCTACCATGGTGAATGTATACAATACTTCCCTTCAAGAATTACAATAGAGACTTCACTCACAAATGGTACTTTCCTCACAAAAGCATTTGGCTATAAGAACTAGTGAGAGAAAGCTAAAATAAAGTTTTAGAGGGAGAGAGTGTGTCAATACACAAATTTATGTTCTGGATAATTTTAAATGAGAAATGGAGCCTTTGTTTATAAGCTTGAGGTTCCACAAAAAAGGAAATGTCATCTAAGCAAAAATAGTTGTTGCTAATCGATTGACATAATCGATTGATATTTTGAAAATCAATCGTATATAAGTTCCAAAATTGAAATATAATATATATATATATATATATATATATATATATATATATATATATATATATATATATATATATATATATATATATATATATATATATATATATATATATATATATATATATATATATATATATATATATATATATATATATATATATATATATATATATATATATATATATAGTTGTTGCATAGAATCTGGGTGCTTTCAACTTGTCTTGCGCCTTAAGCACGCGCTAATCTAATCGGTTAGCACGTTGCTTCAACCTATTAAACAAAGTAAAAAAATGTTTTATGGCTTTTTTATTGCTCGCGTCCTATTCTATACAACTTTCATTTGTTTTTCAAAGTATTTTCTTTTGGAAAATAATTTGATTAAAATATTTTTGTGTGTGTGTGTGTGCGCGCGCTTATAGCCATGTACTTCTATCAAAAGTCTTTTTGCTTTTACATAGTTTCACTCACTTACTATTTTAAGATATTTGCTTTAAGACTTTGTTAGTTGTAATATTTTGTGTTGGCACTTGCTCGAGATCTCTTGATGCTTTTGATAGAATCCATTTTTCTTTACCTTTATCTAATAGTCATGTTTATCAAACCTTTATACTCATGGCTTGCATCTTTGAACACTTAAGTGTATTGTTTGACTTATCATTGTTTGCATCTTTATCATGATGGATATCTCTATTCTTTTCTTTATATTTGTCATCATCAAAAGATATTGTCTTGATAAAGGTCTATTACCTGTAAAACAAGGTTCCATATTCTCTCCCTTTTTGATGATGACAACATATCTATTAGGGGAGGTGGTAAACGATACAAGATATTTTTGGAGTAATAAACTCCTCCTGAGTTAGATAAAATATATACCCCCTCCCCTGAGAATATACTTCTCCCCCTTTGTCAAAATCAAAAAGGCAGGTAAAGAGATGCAATTGGGAAAAGGCTAAATATGTAAACATTTGTATATGATAGT